GTTTGTGGTTGTCTGTCTTTGTTTTGTCTTGTGTCTCTCTCTTTCCTGCTGTCTGTTATTTATGTAACACAATAGATTTCTTCCTGCCAGACGCTCTGCCTCGTGACAGGCTGTGGGTGAGAGGTCTGTGCTGTGGAGTTAAAACCCAGCAGCTATGGGCAGAGAATCTCCTTCTTTATGTCTGTACCCATCCTTATCATTAAAGGACTGCTGAGAAGTAATGAAATATCCCCAAGGACCCCCCTGCCCCCTCCCCCACCACTTAGCATCACATCAGCTTTCTGAGGGCATCTCTACTGCGGTTACTAGCGATTGGGGTGGGAGATCCTGAGCACCGAGGAGCTGTAAAGGTTGTTTATTGAGTCCTGCTGCAGCGCAGAGATTGGATTTCTTAAAGCATAAGCTTGAGTTGTTAAATAAGCTGTCTTTGTTTCTCTACGTGTCTTAGCTCGGGCAGTCCATCGCCTATTGGAAAACCGTCACCATGGTGTCCCCTGGCCATCCACAGTCTACCCTATTACACAGCTGACCAATTCCATCATCAAGAGGGTGAACGAGGCCTCAGGCCTCTACCAGATGTTCAGTGTCCTGGCTGACATCATACTGCTAAGAGAGTGAGTGAGTGAGTAATTACTCCCAGCACTGTGCTCCATAATTTCATTTCTGTCTCTTTACCATTGCTTCCTGTGTTGCCACCTCACAGATTGCACTGTTCCTGCCTAAGGATGTTACATTGCATAGGCAGCCACCCCAAACCTGTACCACAACTGCAACTGGTGCTCAATTGTGCAGACTGTTTCTCCCTCTTAAAGGACTGAAATGGTCCAGATCTTCCCTCTAGGCTCAGAGGTGTAGTACTTTTTATTGACCCCAGGGAAGAACTTTGTTGAGCAGTGCTACTGTAGAGAGAATCCCATAGTCAAGGAAAACAATGGTGTCTTGTAACAGTATCTGCAGCCTTTATAAGCTCTGCATCAAGTCCAGCTCAGATCTGTAATGACCAGAATTACTATCTGATGACTTTTTGGCTTTAGCCAAAGGGCGGGTTGGATCTCAGCTGGCTTTCTCTGGTGGAAAATTCTGATGGTGTGTTTGCAATTCACAGGAATGCCACAGCATTTGAATACCTGGAAGAGTACCCTATTGGAGTCCTGGCTGAGCTGGAAATGCAGACAGGAAGAAAGGCTCGAAGTGGGCTCTTTGTCATCATCATGGAGTATGGGAGGAATTTCTCTGGGGCTGACAAGGATGTCTTCTACTACAACCGTGCCGTGGGAGAGGCACAGCATGCCTGGCAGTCCAACTTTTTACACCCTGTTATTTACTATTACAAAAGCCTCCCAACAGGTAAGCTTTCCTGCTAACTATGTGACACAACAAAAACAAAGAGGGATAAAGATAAATCAGAGCCAAAGTGGGGGTGGTGCCTGAAAGCACTATTCCCCCTTCCTGTGAGACACCCCCTGCCACTGTATGAGCTGAACAGGAAAAAAGGAACAAACAGGCGTGCTGGAAATTTCCCCACAGCCAAAAAGAGGAACAGTTCTTCCCTTTGGCTGGCACCCTGTGTGTATTTTGCAGAGCCTGACAGATGAGGCAGTTGTTGTTTGGCCATCTTGCTGCCAAGAGAAAGCTGCTCTCTGCCAGGCCCAGGTCCGAGAGGTCACACAGACATAGAGGCAGCCAAAGGCAAGGGTTTCAGGAGGAGTGTTCTATCCAGCAGCAAACAGGCTCAGAGTAGACTTCCTTGGGAAATGAGTGTGTTGAAATATTCATCTTCAGAAACCTAGGGTCAGGATCCAGTTTGCCTTGCACAGAAATAAACATGATGGGTAGCAGCATTAAACACAGCTTAGCCCATCTGGCAGTCCCTGTTCGGGGGGAACAGCAGTGAAAAGACAGGAATGCTATGGGCAGGGACAGAGGGCAGCTGTGCAGTGGCAGTGTTGTTGAGGACAAAGCTAGCAGAGGGGATTGCAAATGAAAGTGGCGGATTAAAAGGTCAGGACAAAAGCGGAAACAGCTGTCACAGCTGCTTTCCACTCCCCAACTCTTTTTAATGCCATTTTCCTTCTAAGAGACTCCCTTAATGTTCTCTTGGCAGAGCGTGAGATGAAACTCCGTCCCCCAGACTGGCCTCTGCCCCGGCCAGATGCCATCCATCACATTGTGGAGGACTTTCTGACAGACTGGACAGCCCCGAACGCTCACATCCTGCCGCTGAGGCGGTTTTTGGAGAACTGCCTCAGCACCGACCTGCGCAATTTCTTTGCAGGTAATTTGTGCACAGGGTCGAAGTGACAGGAAGAGGAGGAGGAATGTGAGGAATAAGTGACAGGAGTGATCTCCTCTGCAAATAGCTGAGATCTCCCTGTGGTGAGCTGCTTGTCTCACTGTCAGTCACACCTCCTCAATGCACTCACCAGATGGTACAAAGTGCTGTTCTGTGTGTATGCTCCCAAAGAATCCTTGCTCTTGTTCACCTTTAGAAAAAGACTGGCCCAGGCATGCCAGGATTTAGAGAAAGGCATATAAGGTTGGGTTCAATCCTTTTTCTAGCTGCTTTCCTTTCTTCTTCAATATCTGAATATTTCTTTGTGCCATTGTGTACTAGATCTCATATATTGGTGATTGGATTGCTTTCCCATGGGAAATGGGAATGCTATGATGTGAGAAGTCAAGAGCCTCTGCTGTCTCCTTTTGTCTCCCTTCCTGGTCTTAAGACTGGTGTGGGACCCTCCTGCAGGAAGCCCGTGTGGCACACAGAGGAAAGCCATCTTTTACCACAAAGAAAATGCCAGATGAATGCAAGCTCAAATCCAGCTCCTTTTTCTCTCAGTGTGCAGACTGGGGGTCCTTCTCTTCATTTCCTGAGCTTTGCAGAATTAAGTCGATTACTGTGCTGCCACCCAGGGCAGGGTATCGGGTGGGAAGCTCCAGCCATCTTCCCTCATCCTCTCTGCCTTTTTTTTTTAACAAGTCCCTGATAGTTTATGGGAGTATTTCCCTACAGGGTATCTCTGCTGACTCTAATTTTTGATCCTTTCCCCTGCAGAGACCTGTTTCCTGTTTGCCTTCACCCATCAGAAGCTGCCTCCTTCCTGCCAGCAGGGTTATGTGAGAATGCAGGGACTGGTGGGGAGCCAGGAGCTTCGGCACCATGCAGTTCAGGCTGGGCTGCTCCAGGATTACACTCACACAGACTTTCTGGGTGACAGACCCCCTGACAGCCACGATGGGTCACAGGAGCAGTTGATGAGAGATCATGGGATACCAGTTCGTCCTCTGCAGCATCTTGTTAATGCCAAGGATGAGCTTTAACCTTTCTTGCTCTGCACTGAGATCCATAGGTGCTCTTGTGACAGTACTGTTACAGAGATCCACAGCAGGATTCTGCCCTTTCCAGCGTCCTTTTTCCATCCCCGTGCCTCCCACTGATCGTGAGTTGCCAAAGACCTGCTCAGATCTTGCTGTTACAAAGAGGACCAACATGCTCTGAAGGACTGAGTGAGGGACCAAAATCCAGTGATGCTGAGGTTCCCATGTTGTCCTTGCAGAGCTCAGAGTTGCCTGAAGATGGTGTGTGTGTTTATCTCACTGACCAGTATCTGCAGTGACATACAGAGGCTGCAGAAGTGAGTACAGGAATGCCTGGGAAACTTCAGATGTCATGTCCTTCAGAGGTGACTTCCCCACGCCCTGTGGCATCCCAGTACCATTTCTCTGGACCCTGGATGCCGTACGCTGTGTATACTTGAAGATTTATTTCTGTGTTGAATGCTGAAGTGGTACTTCAGGCAAACTTCCTGGTACTTTTCCTGCATTTGAGTTAGGGAAATTGCGTAGCTTGGGTGGGAAAAGATGATTTTTTTTTTAGTTACTGTATAGGTCAGATAATTTATAATTTCCCAGAGAACACTACAAGGGACTCTCCTCCACAATGGATGAGTAGCTGGCTTGGGACACTGAGTTTGGCTCTGCTGTCCTCATGTTTTTCTTCTCCCACACCAAGCAGCCTAGAAGGTTAGCCTGTCTTTTATAAAGCATGACAAATATTTCTCCTATTTGCACTATGTCTCATCAAGAAAGTTTGATGTTAAAATGCTCCTTAAAATGCCTCTGTTTTATTCCCCTCCTAAAGCTTGACCTCATGATATCCCTGTGATTTCTAGGAAATAGAGGAGGGGTGACAGGGAACAGGCTTTTCTTTTCACACGTTTTCAACCCTTTAGGTTCTTGAAAAATACACACTCTTGCTTCCAAACTAAGGGGGCTGTACCTTACATGTACCTAAAGCTCTCCCAATCCCTTGAATTCAGCTGCTGTTTCAGTAAAATCCCAGTTCATTGCAGAGGCTGGGGAGCAGAAGAGGTCAAGGGAAGTGCCAGGGGCGTTCTTACTCTCTTTGAGAATACTGGGCTATGCAAGCAATGCTGCTGCTGGAAGATGTTCACGTGCAGCTGGAGAGGGTGGCATGGGCCATGCTGTTTTGTGGTCACCCCTGAGTGTAGGGGTGCAGGTTGCTTCAGGTTCCCTGCCCGGGCGGGAACGTAGTGGAACGGAGTTAATTGCTGTCCGGGGCATTGTAGAACTGTGCGCTTCCAGGAGAGCTTAAAGAAGCAGGTGAACCAGGCAACCCTTTGGCTAGCCTCAAGCTGAGGAGAGCTGCCGGCCGGAGGCACCGGTGCCGGGAGTGGCACCCGGAGCGGCGTCGGGGCCGCCGGGCCCGCGCCACGGCTCGTAGTGCGTCCGCTGCGCCTATTGGAGGGCTCTGCCGCCAATCAGCAGCCAGGGTTTGCTCGGCGTGACGCATCCGACCATACCCTCCAGGGGCGGGGCGAGATGGCCTAAAGGACAGGTACGGTAGCCAATCAGAGGTGCCCGGCTCTCGTGGCGACAGCCAATCGGCTGGGAGGGGGGCCGGCCCGTTTGCAGTAGCCTTCCGGCGGCGGCCGCCAATCAGCGCAGGCGGGCGGGGAGGAGGACGGAAATTGGGTTGTGCGGTCACCTCCGTGCCCGGGAAGGTGCGGGCGGGGCGCGGGCCCGGCGGGTGGAGTGGGGCCCTCCCGGCCGTATCCTCCTGCTCTCGGGCTCGGGGAGCAGCGAGGCGCCGGCGTCTGGGGCTGTTCTACCCCACAGGGTTGGGGGGCCGGGAACCCTGTGCCACCTGTTGGGACATCAGCTGAAAGAGCCCCGCGGTATCGGAGCAGCGGGAATCCCGCGGCCCTATGGGTGGGGAGGAACGGGCGGCGGGGGCAGTTCTGCTTTGCAGGGCTGAGGGAAACGGGGACCCTGTGCCTGGAGCTGTCTCCTGTAAACGGGAAGGAAATGGGGTCCAGCTTGCTGCCCCATGGCTGTGGGGCCGGAGCTGCAGAGGGGGGCAGGGCCTAGGACAGGAAGCACTCCCATGTCATATCCCATAAGCTTCTCTCCTGGACACCTCCTGGCCTGGGGGCTGTCCTGCCGAGGGGACCCGAATCAGGGCGCTGCTACAGTGGGACAGTCATGGGGTGCACCCACCCAAACAGCCGCTCTCCCCACAGATGGCCCAGAGGCTGGCGCTCCAGCGGCTGCTGTCCCTCCCTACGCGGGGGTCCCTGGCATCCCACGGCAGGGCCTTTGGCACCTCAGTTGGCCGCAGGAGCACTTTCAACGTGCAGGATGGCAGCGACTTCCAGGACCGGGTGGTGAACAGCCCCAAGCCCGTTGTGGTGGACTTCCACGCGCAGTAAGTTCCATCCGTGGCCCTTGCGTCCCTCTCCACCATCACCCGTGCAGGTGTGTCCCTGTGACTTTCCTGATGTAGTGGCACTCTGGGCACACCATAGAGGAGCATGCCTGAGGGCTTCCTAAGATGTTGCGTCTGGTGTTGAAAGATGCTTCTGCCCATCAGGCTCAATCCAGATTGATTCAATCCAGAAGATTCCCCTCAGAGCCACACCCTGCAGCAGTGTCAAACAGGAGAGCCAGGAAGGCATTCCCCAGGATTCTATAGCTGCACCTCCCAGGTGCTCAGATGTCACCCCAGCCCCAGGGTTGCATCATCCTACAAAAGATGCCTCAGGAAAAAGCTCTGATATCTGTCCTATTTGGCTTCATGGATGGAAAGTCCTCTTAGAAACATTAAAGTTTACTAACAGCCCTGATGAGCTCTGCACTTGCTATGCTTCACAATTGTTATGGTGTATCATTCCATGTTTCTTAAAGCTGTGTGGTTTTGAGGCTGTTTATAGCAAATGTCTTTATGTGTTAATAACAGTCATGTGACACCAATGACCGCAACTGTCATCAATAAAAATGCTGTCATCCACCTGCCAGTAAAAATACTCCTAGATATTATCTGCTCTGTTAACAGTACTGATTATCTTTGGGTTTTTCAGGTATTTTCATAGTCCTCCAGTACTGTTATGTGAGCCTGTTATAGCTGATTTGGGGCAACAGAACACAAAACAGCCAAAACCCTTCTGTTCTAAATAAACCAACTGACAAATTAAAGTGAGCATTAGCTGAGATCATCCAGGGAGAAGATGATAATTAATTGAGGCCTGAAATCAGATATAGAGCTTCCTTAACCTTTGACAGCTCCTTTATAAGAGAAGTGTCTTTCTGAGCCATGGTTCAGGAATTGTATTTCCAGGCTGGCTTTTGAGTGGAACAGCATTGGTGGTAAAGGTGTACCAGCATGCCTTCCATGACTGCACCTGCCTCTCCTAATGTCCCCTCTCTTTTCTTGCTCCATCAGGTGGTGTGGTCCCTGCAAGATCCTAGGCCCCAGGTTAGAGAAACTGGTGGCCAAACTGGAGGGGAAGGTGCTGATGGCCAAAGTGGACATTGATGATCACACAGACCTTGCTATTGAGTACGAGGTAGGAAGTGGAAGAGCAAAGACTTTATTTAGCTGGCAGTGCAAAGGTGCCTCCCCGGGGAGAGCTGTGCCTGCACAGCAGCAGCATTGGAGGGGAGGGGAAGCCCTGAGCCTACATGTTCCTGATCCATTGGGTCACTTGTCAGTAGGTGGATTTTGCTGTTTGGCTCTGCTCCAGCTCTGCTGGTCATGCCCAGCACCCCCACCTGCAGGGAGGTATGCTCTAGGCCTTGCAGGTGTCTGTCAGTATAAACACTTCGCTGGCCTTGAGGAGCCTGGACCACACACAGCATTTTGCTGCCAGCTGGGGCTGTTCAGGTGCAGGACAAGAACATGAAGTTACAAGGCCCTCTCTTCTGTGCTACGTGGTTCTTTGTGCAACCAGCCTGTCTTCTCTTTCCCTTCCTTGTTCAGGATCACTATCTAGGTCATAACGTCCCCATCCTTAAGTTGCAGCACAAGGAGACACAGTGAGTTTTGTTTGGACGGGCAGAAGCCTGTCCACATAAACAACAGGAGCTTGTGTCCTGCTCTTGAAAGGAGAGGACCTTGGTGCTTACATTGGTGTATGGCATTACTGCTGGGTGTGTTCCCTGTGCTGACTTTCTCCCAGGAAGGAGTGGAATGACTGGAGAAGGCCATGGCTTTCGTTTACATTATTCATTTATTTGTCCCCTCAGTCAGTGATTAGGTAGTTTAAGAAACACAAAAGCTCCTCTGAGGGCCGTGCTTGCCTCTGTTGTCTCTCCTTGTAAACAACCGCTCTGCCCATGGTGTTGGGGCATCCTGCTGTTATGTTTTACAGGGAAAAAAATGCTTTGTTTTCACTTGGGTATCACGCAGATGGATTCTGCTCCCCCTCTGCAGATGAAGTCCTGCTCCCAGCGTGACAACTAGCACAACAAGTTCCTCAAGCTGCCCTGAAAAGTGTGAACCATCTCCTGAGCGAGGTGTCATTTTGTTGAGCCTGGAGAAGCTGCTGTGTTCCATTCCCACACCCTGCCGAGCCTGAAGGAGACGGAAGTGGAAACAGCTTGTTCCCTCCCACTCTTTCCCCAGGGAGACCTTTCTGCCTGCGCTGTGGTAGTTTGCCCAAACAGCTGGTGGCCACAGTCATGACTTGCAGCTCCCACAAGCTCAGCATGAGTCTCCGGTGCTCTCCAGGGTGGAAGCATGCTGGCAGATATACCTCATGCCAAAGATGGCTGCTGGCTCCTGAGCAGGGTTGGCTGCTGCAAGCACAAAAGGCTGCATAGCTCAGAGTGTGCTGGTGAGAAGTTGAAGAGGATATAAGGTGGTTTTAGTGATGATCTAAAAGTGTGTAAATCCTAATAGATGCAGGGAAATCTCTGGTAGCAACCACGCTAAGGAGAAGAGAATAGAGATTATTAGCTCAACTCGCGTATTGTTCCAAGCCTTCCAGTAGATAGAATTAGCTGGGGTTACAGGAGGATAATCTCAGATGAGTGGAAAACGACAAGCAGGGCATGTGCATGCAGAGAAAGGTCTGTGAAAAGAGGCTGAAAGACCTGAGTAGGTTTGATGACATGCTGCGTGTCCTCTCCCCACAGGTGCTGAGGGAGCACTGCCTGCTTTGTGTGTTTGTGTGCAGGTAGGACTGAGGCTGCAGGGAAGGGTCAGCTTCTAGCAGTTCAGTCTGGGACCTTATAAACAAACATGATGACGTTTTTGTTTTGCAAGAGGCCCTCCTCCACTTTTGGAGTGGTTTGTATATGTTGCCTTGGTCGTTATTCCCATGGCTAAAACACCATCCCTAGACAGTCTGCAAGTACCATAGGTGCAAACAGGTAGGAAGATAGGAGAATTTTCTTCTCAGATCTTTGGAGTTTGGAGCATACTTTCTGAGGCAGATGTTGTGTTCACGTGCTGAGCATTTGCTTGGTTTTGCTTCATCTTCTGGGAAGTTGCCATGTAAGGAGAAATGTAAGAGCTGATGGATAGGCACCAAGTGGAGATCAAAGAGGGACCAAATAGAGTGTTTGTGAGAGATCAGGAGAACCAAAGGTGATATTTAGGAGGGATTGGAAAACATTTGTTTTAAAGCTGTTCCACTGGGGATCAGATGTCTGCACGCTGAGGAAGTCTTTGTTTGGGGGTTTTTAGTGTCCATGCCACCCCCACAACTCCTTCACTAGTTGCCAGGAAGTCTCACTCCATCCGTGTTTATTCCCCTGCCCACGCACACACACAGCCCCCAGCTTGCTGCCTGCTTGCACAATGTCCTCTTCAGCAGCCTCCACTGCACAAGGGAAGGCCGAGGGAGGGGGAGACCCCCTGGAAGAGCTGGGGAATGCTGGTGCATTCCTTTATACAAGCGGCTGTCTACCCCAGGCTCTCAGCCATCCGAGCTTAGCACAAAGCATGGATGCATTTCCTGCAACTAGGAATGTCCCCAGTGCCCTTCCCTGTCCTGTTATGCTCAGCACAAAAGTGCTTTCTCTGGGGGCTCCCCATTTTGTCTAATACCTTTCATCTCGGGTTGTGGCGTTTCTCCCCTACTCCAGCCAGCTCCTGACCTATCGCCTCGATAGCAGAAAGGGAGAATAAATACTTTCGTTTATCTGCAGCCTCTTAAAATTCTTTAGATTCATCTCTTGCCTTAGCCAATTGCGTCTGTGTGTGGTGACCAGGAAGGGGCAGCCCCTTCTCTGGCCACTGTGGGTGGGCAGCTCAGGAGAGCTGCTGGCACAGGCACGGTCATTCATCAATGAAGTTCCATCTTGTCACCTCCTCACTCAGAGGCCTGGGTGAAATCCTTCCCTCTGCTCTGTTGTGTGGCATCTGAGCTTGTATAAAAGTTTCAGATGGGAGAGAATTCCCTTGGTACAGGTGTTGCCAGGAGTAACCTGGATGGCCATGTTTGTTTATTTATCTGTGTGGTCAACCCTAATCAAAAGCAGACTGATTTTTTTCTGCAGAAATATTCTTCAGAGAGTAGGAAAGTTTGTTTAGGTTCAGTGCAGATGGGACCCAAAAAAAGAAAAAGTGCCCTCAACTTTGCATTCTAGAAATTCCCAAGACATTTGCTTCTCAACCAGCAAAACAAAATATGTGCTCCATTAACAGGCTGCCCTTGCTGCAGCTGGCAGGAAGGAAGCTGACAAAAACATCGTATTTTCTGAGCAGGGGACTCCTGGGAACTGTGCCCCCAGTTCTCATCTGGCTCTGCAGCGCCAGCCCCAGACCTTCCACTCTTTGAGATTTGCTCACCAGCACGAAGAGGAAAAGAGACAGAGGAATCAAGGCCGTGTGAAGGTCGTGGGTGTGCTGGTCAGCCTGCAGGGCCTGGCAGCATGGTGTTGGCTGCTTCTGCGTAGAGCTTGCAAGAATTGCCTGTTCCTCACCCTGGCCCTAATAGGGGCCAGCTCTTGGTTTTTTTGGATGGGACTGGAACAGCTCTGCTCGATATTAACCCACCGTGCAAACCAGAGGGAGGCTCAGTGGAGGTTTGTGCTTCTTGTGGAGGGAGCAGCTGAATGCAATGCATCCTTTCTCTCTCCTAAAATCGCAAGGGAATGTGTTGGCACCATCGCCCGTGCTGGGGCCCAAGCCCTCTGATTCTGCTGCCTGCAGTCACTAGGAGGAGCTGAAGATTGTGCATTGAGTAGCCCTGACGCTCCCCTCCCTTCGGATGAGACTGCACAAGCCCTAAAGGACACTGTGGGGAGCCACGCTGGACTGCCTGGTTGGGACTGGGTGGGAAGGGAAGACAAAATGTCCCTTTCATCTCAGGCTCCCTGTGGGAGAAAAGCCAGCCCTCTGATGGGTTTCAAGAGGGATTTGCAGATCTTTGTTGGCAGCAGGGCTGGCACACGGGAAGGCCCTGCAGGCTGGAGGAGAGTCAGCAGGCAAGATAAGGACAGGATGTGTTTTGGGGGGAGACTTCGCAGAGATAAGGGAATCAAAGCTGCAGGGTCAGAAGTGTGATCAGATCTTCCATTGCTGCAGGTCTCCAAGCTCTGGTTGTTCCTTCTTTCAGTCATGTCCCTGGGGTCTCTGCTGTCACCAGTCAACCAGAAAGTCCCTGGGGAGTATTGCCATTTCCAACACTGTTCTCTTGGATAATTCCCAGAAAACTCTGTTCTGAGCTAAAAAAGGAGCGCCTAGAGCAGCACAGCTGCCTGCTAGCTCTGGTCAGAGGGACTTTTTCACTTCTCATCTAATCGTCAGGCATCTGCAGTGAACGACCACTGGTTTGTGACCAGATAAACCACTGAAAACAGAAGTGGGAAAGGAGGAAGGCTTGGAGAGTATTGGCGTTGCCATAATATGACGGAGCAGGAAATCTGCCTGTGCAGTGGTGGGGCGGGTTAGGATTAGAGCTCCAGTCCTATCTGGAGAAAAACACAGGTCCAAGACTGATGCTGCCCTGGCTATAAAATGTCCAAAGGTCACTATGTCTAATATGTGTCCTAGATGTGTTCATTTATGATAGGACAAAACGGAAGGAGAAGTATTTGTACTCGAGATGGGTTTTTTTTATTAGCTGTGGTTTTCTCTTTAAAAATCTGAGTCTTATTTAAACTCAAAAAGCAGCTCAGCCTTAACTTGAGCAGAGTGGTGTTAGTGCAGAGAGGGGGGAACCTGGAGCTCAGCTGGCCTGTTCTGTGAGTGGACATCTCATCCTAGAGCAGTGCATGCTCAGCTCCCTTGTAGCCATTCCTTAGACTTCCATTGGGGAACCAGGTGCAGGTGGCTTCCTGCAGGCTTTGCTCACCTGTCTCCCTGTTTCTCTTGCCCCAGGTGTCAGCAGTGCCAACTGTGCTGGCTATGAAGAACGGAGACGTTGTGGATAAATTTGTGGGCATAAAGGATGAGGATCAGCTGGAGGCATTCCTCAAGAAACTCATTGGAGCCTGAAGTAAAAGGGTGGCTGTATCTCTGCCTCTGGACACGTCCATGTTGTGCATTCCTTGCCTGGGAGAGCTGAGGGCAGGTCAATTGCCTGCCCTGTACAACCCGGGGGTTTTCTGTTTTGGTGTTTTTAGGAGATGGAAAATGTAACCCTTCTCTCCTTCTCCCCCTTCTCACAAGCAGCAGTAGTTGTAAAGGGCGCTAAGGAGCCGGGCTGCTTATTCTCAAAACAGGGAATGTGGCTGGAATTAGAAGCCTGTGTTTATCAGCCAAGAGCTGACATGCAGAGCTGCTGCTGCTGCTGCTGAGCTAAGAGGAGGAATGTTTTTGTCTTTGCCTCACATCTGATAGCCCAGAGCAGAGGGCAGCTGCTCCCTGCAAGATGATGGTACATACCTGCCCTGGGTGGGTTTGTTTAAAGCTCAGAATGCCTCTACCTTGTCTGTGAAACCTGTCTCTTTCTTCCTGTGTCTTTTTGTTAATGGGACAGGTACAACTCCTCCACAAATCCATGGGCTCCCATCATAATTTTATAAGAGAAAATTGGGAGAAGTATTTCATGGATCTCCTTTTGTATGTCTGCAGTAGAGAACTTTTATCAGTCACTGCTGTCTAGCCAGGAGAATAAAACTTGATTCTCACAAATCTATCCGGAGAGGTGAGTTGGGAGTATCAGCAGCACAGTTTCTAATGATGGGTTGGGAAAGTACAGGTTATGACTTGATCCCTACTAAAAGGTAATGTGCTGAAAAAAACAAAATAGGGGATTTCTTCCATGGGACTTTGAGTGCTGCTGGATACAGGGGGCCAGAGGGAGGATTCACCTCTCATGCACAGATGAACAGGTGCTCATTGCACACAAAGAACCTGAGCTATGCTCGCTCCCCCTGTGCTTTTCTCACTCCTCCCCTGTCTTTGGAGCCTGAGATCCTCCCTCTCCCTGTTGTGAATAATTAAATGTGCTCACACAGGTGAGCCCTGCCAGAAGGCAGCCTTTTAACTTCAATTGCCCTGACCTTTGGACTAAAAGTGCCAGTGCTTCTATCTGAGCAGCCTTCAGCCCTTCCAACCTCTTCCTCCTCCTTCTTCTCACATACACCTGTTTCCTCTCAACCTGGCTTCTCAGTGCTCCCAGCCTCCTCCTGTGCTTGCAGGCAGAGTACAGCACCAGCACTGATGACTACTGTACTGTTTAATTCCAGTTTGCTTATCTAAGCTGCATGAGAACATTGTAAGTGCTTAATAACCATGTACAAGCTGCTGCCTTTTTTTTTTTTTTTTTTTTTTTTTTTTTTTTTTTTTTTTTTTTTTTTTTTTTTTTTTTTTTTTTTGCCACAGCTTCTGTTTCCTTCAGTCACTCCTAAATCTGCTTTGGCTTTGCTCCATTTCACCTCCCTGGCATATGAGCAGGCAGGTAATTGTTTTTCTGCACCTCTGCAGTAACGATTTATGACCTTTGAAGGAGCCAGGGGTGTGGTGATCCAAGTCCTGCTGCAACTGCAGTGCTGCTGGCTGGTATCACTGCTCCCACCTGCTTCTGTCACCCTGGAGCCTGGGCCACAGCACAAGGTAGTACTGGTCCCCTGAGGTGGGTGCCTCCCATTCGGACTGGGCTGATCTCACCGCTGGCACGCTGCTAGAGGTGATGTCACTGGGATGTAATCTGGTAAAGAACTGCTGGTCAGTTAAAATCAATAAAAACTGGCATTTCATTTTATTCCAGAGATCATGGAGGCTGTGCTGCTCCTGACCTCCTTGGGTTTCAGGCTGGGCAATTTCCCCTGCAGTTTTGGTGTTCCTGCTCAGTAAACACTTCTAGTAAAGACTCTCCATTTTCCTGCACAAGCAGGAAAAGTAGGGGAACAGCGTCACATACCCGAAAATAATCGACTTTCTTGCCTTACCATCCTACAGAACAGGAAAAAACACAGTGACTTTGCATTGTGTAATTAAGGGGCAGTATGAAATAGTTATTTTATTGCTTCCTTCTAAGGAAAAGCAGAGTTAAAGTGTCACTCAGCTGTTAAAGTGCCAGCACACTTTAGGGTGCATTATGTGAAAGCCACAACTGTTTATTTGAGATAAATACTGAAGATCCATGTACGTGGTGCCCTGTAAAATCCTTCAGAACAGTGTAACAGGTGGACAGTAGGAGGAGGGGTTTGGGGACAGGTTGAGATTCCTCAAGCACTTTGCAAGATTTCCACCACAGGACAGGGCTCAGAGCAAAAGGATATTTTCTGTGCCAGGTTTTTAAGTCAGCTCCCTGTTTGCCAACTGCTGGGGAAGGCTAGAGGGATTCCCACAGCGGTGTTAATAACAGGAGGTGCAAGCAGGAAGCAGTGCCAGCAGTGTATTTATGTAGTGGTTAAAGAGGGGTTGCACAGCAATTTTCATGCCACCTGAATGTGATGTTGGTCTTTCCCGATTGAAGGGAGCTGAAGCAATGGGTAGTTCCTCAGCAGTAGCTGTTCTTTCCATGTCAGCTGGGAAAATGTTTCCTCTCTCTAGCAAGGATGCAGTTTGTTTTCCCTTTTGGAGTTAAGCACATTGAATTCTCCTCTGATGTGTCCAGCATTTGCTCTCTCCTACCCAAGCCTGTCTGTTACAGTAGCTTTCTCAGCTCTTAATGTTCCTTGTTTCTATTTTAAGAGGACATGGCAATCAGTGCCTTCCCAAGGGGAGCAAGGCTCAGCTAAGCCCACTTCTCTTCCCCATGCATGTTTTGAACCCAATGCCAAGGTTCCCCCACGGGTCAGGCACATTGCCTCTGTCCTCACAGTCTTGTCCAAGGTGCCCGATTCCAAGCAAGTGGAGGTTTTCCATTCGTTTCTGTTGGCTTTGCACTTGCATCAAGCCCTAACACAGCTGCTCCTTTCCCCAAGATGTTTGTGCCTGCCTGCTGAACTCCGAGTTAATCTCCAGCTGCTCTGGCTCATAGTGAGTATCTGCAAAGAGGGAGGGGAGAGCTTTGCTGTCTTCTCTACTAGAGGTGCTATGCCAGGAGCAGCTTCAAGAGCTGGGAGACGATTGAAAACTCAGGAAAACTTGCTTGGCTTGCAGCAGACAGTGGGCTGTGTGTATGTGGCCCTTTGAAGGGGATAGTTTGGGCCAGTTTGTTTCCAGTGCGGTCTGACCTTGGCAGCCTGGCCAATAAATCCTTTGCTTTATCAATAAATGCAATTCCTCCTGTGCAAAGAAGAAAACAAAGACCAGCTCCATGTCAACAGGGAAATGGTCCCCACTGCCTTAGGCAGGGCCTTTCACCAGCCCAGTCAGGCTGTTGTCCCGAACAGTTTGTTAATCACTTTGAGCTTCCCCTCACACACCTCCTTTTTCTCATCCAAGTAATTACAGGATTCAGACAGAATCAGCACTTTAATTCTCCAGCCCTGCAAGGCTGTTAGCAGCAATGTTAAGCTCAGTGTTGTTCAAAACTGCTGCTAAATTGTGGCAAGTGTTTGCTGCAAGTTAAAGAGTAACAGCAGCTGCAATAGTCTAGTCAATAAAAAGATAAGATAAAACTACCATAGGCTTGATTTCCAAACCAAAACGAGACTGTAACAGGTGATCTAGTCTGTTGTCCTCCTTACCTGCCCCTGCAACACACTCAAGCTGTGGTTTAACCCCAGTTGACTGGGCAGTTGCTCACTCACACCTCTCCTGGTGGAGTGGGGAGGAGAATCAGGGGAAAAAAGGCAAAACCATAGGTTGAGACAAGAACAGTTTAATAATTTGAATAAAGTAAAATATAAAGATAACATAATAATCCTCATAATGAAAAGGGAAACTACAAAAAGAAAGAAAACACAAGAAAAACAAGTGATGCAAAATAGAATTTCTCATCGATTGGCTGATTGATGCCTAGCCTGTCCCTGAGAAGTGATTAGCTCCTTCCAGGTTACTCTACCAGTTTATATTCTGGGCACGATGTCCTGTGGCATATGGAATATCCCTTTGGCCATTTTGGATCAGCTCTACCAGGCATGCTCTTTCCCATGTTCTTGTGTAGCTCCTCACTGGCAGAGCATAGGGAACCGAAAAGTCCTTGATTTAAAATAAGTACTGCTTAGAAAGAAGTAGAGCATTGGTATGTTATCAGAATTATTCTCATACTAAATCCAACATACAGCACTGCACTGGATACTAGGAAGACAATTAACTCTGTCCCAGTCAAAACCAGGACACCATCCATCACCACACAGGGGTGGTGTTCTGCCATTTCTTGCTGCTCTTTTCAAGGACGTGGGGTGCCCTTGTGAGCTTTTTGGTTTTTCTGCCTCTGCATCTCTGTAAATTCGGCAACACTTTTCTCCATAAAACCTTTCACAGGCAAAAACCAAAGACTACAGCTCTCAGGAGAGTGATAGCCACAGGCTGGATGTGGTTTGGAGGGGGCTGCTGTGCTGAGCCATGCCTGGTTGCTTTTACTCCCTGTATTCTACCAGCCAGGGAAGGATGGAGGCGGGAGCAGCAGGGGAAACCCCAAATTTCCTAGACCAGAGGAGCCAAATGGGTGAAAACGAGAGGCCTACAGGGAGAGATTGAAAATGCATCTGCCCACATCCCAGTGGGAAGGAAGTGAGAAGAAACCCTGTGGCTGCCTTCCTGATGGCAAGGGGTCCCCTGCCCAAGAGTGGGCAGTGAGACAGGGAAACATCCTACAAGGAGAGGCCAGAGAGGGACATTGGAGCTGCTCATGTCCTGAGGGTGGAGGACAGCTGGAAGCTGCATGCAACAGGGCAGCACCCAACTTCCCACCTCACATTGACTTCCTAGGTTCTCACGATCCAAAAGTCACAATAAAAATGCACTAAAATTTATGGTTTTTCTCCATGGCCTGCATGAAATCAGGTCTGTGAAATAAGGTCCCTGCAGGTGTATACGTATATATATGTGTTTATCTACTCCCATACTTTTGTTCTCTGTTCTGGAGAGTGCCAGGAATTTCTGTGACTCACAGATGTCCCCAGCAGCTGCAGCTGTTGACAGAAAAGGACAGGAGCAAGCCTGCTGACTCTCCCACCCAAGGCAAGGCTGAGCTCCCTGTACCCTTCTCAGCCTCTACACGCTTCTCTTCGCTCTGATGCTAAAGGCACCCTGGCTCCATCTCTCTTACGAGTGGACAAGTGGTTGAGCAATTTCCTGAAAAACAGGAAATTTTTGCAGTGAGAGTCCTCAGAAATACTGATTTCAAGTCATCCATGGGGTACAGCATGCACTGGAGAAATCGGTGTTTTCCAGAGATGGTGACCTCTGGTCACCCGCGTGGCCGCAGCTCCTCCATGCCAGTGCCCCACAGCTGTCAGTGAGAGGGTGTTTGTCCCGGCGGGCTCTGCACATGGAGCTTCATGGCCTGGGGAAGGAGAGGAGCTGCATTCCTCGGGGTTGCTCCATCGAGAGGCAGTAACGCTTCCCTGCAGCGCCCGTAGCCGCGGGCGCAGGGACTGCACAGCTCCTTTCCCTGCAGGTGGCTTTACCCGCAGGGCCATGGCACAGGCAGTAGCAGGTAACAAACCCAGCCCTAGGTCTGGCTGTCACAGCGGCCAGGTTGGAGATGGAGTGATGCAAGCTCCAGCACGCCTGCTGGTATTTATATAACATAGTTTTGCTTTAATCCAGCTTTTTAAGTAAACTG